CTCCGCGCCGTCGAGCCGGCAGCGCGCGGCGAGCGGGCCGGCGCCCGCGGCCGCCGCGACGGCCGCGGCGGCGCGGAAGACGCTCGCGGCGTCCGCGCCCGCGAGCCGGAGCGACCCGTCCGGGTCGTCGCGCCGCGGCAGCTGGAGCCGCGCGCCGCTGTCGCGCTCGATGCGCTTGATCGTCGCGCCGCGCGCGCCGACGACGCGGCCACGGCGGTGCTCGGGCACGTCGACCATGACGACGAGCGACCGCTTCGGCCCGCGCGGGCCGCGCCGACCGCGGCCGCGACCGCGGCCGCGGCCGCCGCCGCGGCCGCCGCCGCCGGTGCGCGGGTTGCCGTTGCCGCCTTGCTGCGGGAAATTGGGAAACTGATCAGCGCCGCCGCCGCCGCCGCCGCCGGAGGCGACGAAGCTCATCGATGCTCTGCACTAGCGGCGCGGGAATGCGAGCATCATGCATCGGCAAAGCCGCAAAGGCAGCACCTCTGCAACATGAAGTTCAAGCCGACTAAACCCAGCACCGGTTACAGGAGCACTCGAGGCCCGTGGTGTCGTTCGGGAACTTCGCCGGCGCGTCCGCTCCCGGGCAGTAGGCGGGCCTGGCGATGGGCGCGACGTCGCCGGGCGTCGGGACGTAGGGCCCGTAGTAGGACCGCGAGCCGGAGAGGTTGCGGGACGCGTGCGTGTGGAGCACGGGCTGGAACGGTTCCACAAGACTCTCGCAGTAGCAGGGCCCGTCGTCCGGCGCGCAGTAGAGCCTGCACGGCGGCATCGACGCGTTCGTGAACGGGTTGAGGACGACGAGCGGCGCCTCGGCGACGAGCTCCGTCATCCGCGCGCCGCGCGCCATGTCCGGCGGGAAGACGGGCGCGCCGTCCATGAGCTTGGCGCAGATCTCGCTGTCGCGGTACCACTCCCAGACCGAGCCGTCGCTCTCGAAGAGCAGCGAGCAGTCCCGGGAATGTGCCTACCGAGTGCGACGGGGTCGGATTTCTTCACATCTTCGGGCAAAATTCACACGAAACGACACTTCTGTCGCTCGACGCTGGAGCGCGCCTTCTCGGCCCAGGTCGTCGTGTAGAGCGCCTGCCGGGTCGGGTAGCGGTAGTCGACGTCCGCGATGGAAGAGCCGTGCGCCTCGGCGTACATGTACATGGTCGTGTTGTAGTTGTCGGGCGTCGCGACGGGGTGCGACGCGTTCGCCGGCAAATCGTCGACGTAGTGGCACGCGCGGCAGCTCATGGACCCCGCGAGCTCGAGCGCGCCGTACGCGTCGCCGGAAGCGGGCGGGAGCTCGCTCACCAGCGGCGCCGCGGCCAGCACCGCCGCGGCCTCGCGGCGCGCCTCGGCGCCGAGATGATGGGCGAAGAGGAATGCGGCGTCGTTGCAGCGCGCCGCGCGCAGGGCGTCCGACGGGGCGGCGCCGTCCGCGGCCCGTTTCCCGCGGCGCGACGCGGACGTCGCCAGCCAGTCCGGCAGCGACCGGCGGTCGCCGCTCGCGCCGTAGATGTCTG